GGGGCGGTTTGCGCGCTGTGGGTCGAAAGGAGCAACAAAGGAGGCTGCTCCGTAGTGGGGGTGGCTCCCGCAGCGGCAGTGGGAGCGCTGGGGGCACGTGAGAGCTGCAGGCAGTAGCGCTGGGGGGGCACACCTTGGCTGCAGGAGGCCAGCGTGCTGCTGGGCACTAACAAAAGCAACTCAAGGAAGGGGGCTTATGAAAAAAGTGATTTGCGTGTGCTAAGGGTATTGCTTCTGCCTCTGCAGGTCTGTGAGTAGCCCGGTTTTCCCAGGATGACTGCCCGGGTGCCTTCTGATGCGCTGGGTCGAAGAATCTTGTGCGGCACGGAGTATGCAACTGTGCGCTACGTTGGCAGTGTTCCTCCTACAGCAGGTAAACATCACAATAGTAAATAACCTTTACATTTCATGGTTGTTTTCAAAATTCTAATTATGTTCTTAATTTAAAAAAGTCAAGTAGAATGTGGCAAGTTACAGATTGTTTTTTCCTTATTGTTCTTGTGTAAATATGGCAACTTCTAATCTAGATAAGTTGTTGGGCCTTTTTGGAAGTCAGAGTTGTCAAAAGGAGTGTAAGATGTACTTTTGGTTGAAATTGGTTACGTTTTTTTCTTACAGCAGAAAGATGTAAGAAAGCGCCTTCCTTTTTCCATTAGTTTTCATGACCAGTCTGTTCCCTGATCTCTGTGTACTGGCGTAGTCTGGGAAGGAAAGAGACAGGCAGCAACAGATCGACAGACAACAGCTAATGTTCAAATTCATGGGGACAAATAAGACTCAGCCCAGCTTGCTGAAAGACCTGACCAGTCCAATCGTGAGAGTGCTACATGTCATCTTTGAAAAATTGTGGTGACAGAATGGGGAGATTGCTGATGCTTGGAAGGAGACTAGCCTTGCATACAGTTCTGGAGGAGGCAAGAAGGGTGACCAGGGAACTGTAGACTCATCAGCCTCACTTCAGTTCCTGGAAAGATCATGTAGCATGTTCCCTTGGAGTCTGTTTTCCAAGCCTATGAAGGACAAGATGGTAGTTGGGAATACTTGATACTTGTAAAGAAGATCAAGTTGTGCTTGGAAAACCTAATTACCTTCTGTGATGATGTGACTGGGAATGTGGACAAAGGGAGAACAGGGGATGTAATATTCCTTGACTTTAGTAAGTCTTTTAACAGTGTCTCTATAAAGAACCGTATTTGGAAGCTGGGGAACTACAAGCCAGATGAATGGACTGTTAAGTGGGTTGAAAGTCCGCAGGTCTGTCAAGTGGAAAAGTGGTAATCAATAACTTGATATCTGGTAATGCGCGAGTACTACAGAAATAAGTGCCGGGGTCTGTATTGTTTAATATATTCATCAGTGTCTCACATAACGAACAGTATTCACCCTCAACTGGCTGATGTGACAAAAGGTAAGAATTGCAATCCAGAACAAGCTTTGCGAACTTTAGGCTTGGCCTAAGGGATTCAAGAAGGATAAATTTCCACATGTAGTGTGAAATAAACCTGTGTATCCATACATACCGGGAAGCACTAGCAACCCACAGGGTCTATTATAAAGGACTTGGGAATTAAGGTGGTTACTGTCATGAATATGAGCCAACAGTAAGCTCTTGTCACAAGCAAGATATGTGTTGTACTGGGTTACCTTAGAACAATGATGAACATGGCCAGTAAAGCAAAGGAAGCTGTTATCCCCGGTCTGGGGCAGGGGTTCTTGATAAGGTTGCATTTGGAATAATGTATCTGGTTTAGGACCATCCCAATTCAGGAGGGATATGGACAAACTTGAGAGGATCCAGTGGAGGGCTGCCAAGGTGGTTAAGGGCATAGACCAGGTACGTGTGTTGTGAAGAGAGGCTGAGGGATCTGGGCTTGGTTAGTGTGGTGAAGAGAAGATTAAGTGGCATCCAACAGCTGCTTGCAGCCATTTGACAGACGGTTACAAAGATGACAGAGCCAAATTCTTATTAGTATTAGATTATATAATAAGGGACAATGCCCACAAATTGTGGCTGGAAAGGTTCAGATGGGACAGCAAGAAAATCTTTTTCTCCACAGAAGTAATGCAGCACTGACTGGAATAGGCTGCCCAGATAAGTTGGAATCTTTTTCTCCTTTGAGATTTTCAAGATCTGGCTAGGTAAAGACTTACCTGGCTGATGTGTTTTAGTGCTGATGATAATCTCCTGCTTTGAGAGAGAACATTAGGCTAGATGAACTTCAGAGGTTCCTTCCAACCATGATTTCTATGGCTATGATGCCATAAATTTGAAAATGTATCTACTGTATTTTTCAGGAATTTGGCTTGGCGTGGAATGGGACGATCCTCAGAGAGGAAAGCATGATGGTACCTATGAAGGAACACAGTATTTTAAGTGCAGGTGAGTTGATTCACAGTGTTGGCATGTCATGCATATTGACAAGATGGTCATGGGAAAATGCCCTTTTGCAGTTTTTAGGGCAAACCCTTTTGTTATCAGTTGGCTGATATTAAAAAGATAATAAGTCTGAATGCTGTGACTAGCTATGCCGTAAAGACTGTTGCGTTGTTATTAATCCAGTTACAGGGATCAGAATATGGCAAATACTTAGAAAATACAAGTCATGTTTTCAGAGGTGTGTAATAAAACGTGACTTTTGGATGTTATTAATATTACCTTTAGTAGCTTTAGACCTTCTGCTTTAGTAAGGAAATCAGTATTTCCTACTTACCTTCCTTAGGTAATTCTGAAGTGAAATGTTGGTCGATATTAACTGTCTCAGATATAGTTTAGATTTGGACTTAAGATGACTTGCATGTATCTTGTTAAGGGAAAATACTAAGTTCCTGATAATGATTTAGATTATATTTGTATCACTGAGGAGTCAAGTATGTTCACTTGCATTTAATACATGCAAACCACAGTATAGCTGTGTGGGGTTTTTTTAAGTATATACACGCATTACGTTTAAGTGTAAAGATTCAAGCACTTAACATGTTTGAAATTGGGGAATGCAGGACTCTAGGGTTGATGCTAACAGCAGCAAGCTGTTGATTTCCATATCAGAGGACACTGCAGCAGCTAAAAGGTTGTGAGTTAAAAAAATAACTGGACAAATTCATAGAAGAGAAGTCGTCAATGGCTCTTAAATACTAAGGGCTGCTAGCTCAGTAAGTTCCTGAGCACTGAAGTGGTGAAGGACGAGAGACTATTCTGTGGCTGTAGCATTAAAATACTTGCCCTGTTGTCATATTTTTCCCAACCATTTCCTATTGACAGCTTTTGGAGAAAGGATGTGACGTTACATGGATGTTTGTTTTGACCACTGGGTCACAGCCAGTCTTATATTTATGAGACGAAATGGAGAGATTTCTAGGTCTTTTTCCACCTCCTACTTTCCAAGACTGGTAATAACTGTAAAAGGGCAGTTTGATTACAGTTTGGTTTTTAACTGTTCCAGTGCTCATTCAAGTGCAATGAATCTAGTATAAACCAAATCCTGTGACACTGAGCACTCAGAATTAATAGAAGGCTTTTGAAAATATGAAAGAAAGTGACAAACCAAGAAAATAATTTAAAAGTTGTCTGTGGTCTTGCTTTTGGATGCGTTTTTGCTTTGCTGTGTTGGAAAATGTAAGAAAATTACATCTCTGAAAAAGAAAATCTCTGAAATTAATTCCTCATGCTAATTATCTTAAAAAAGCTAAAGCCATCAATGAGAGGATAATCAAATCATTTTTTTTCAACTTGCATGTAAATGAGAGTCATAAGAATAGCTGGATGAAGTCAGTCCAAAGATTTGTCTTGCTTAGTTTCCTGCATCTGACATTGGCTAATAGCAGATGACTGGAGAAGTGTGAAAGAACAAGAAAAGTATGTGGTGATAGTTTTCCAGAGTCTCACTAGCTTTAGCTAGTCTTGGTTCAAAGATTTTTCAGAGCCAGAGATGGTGTATTTGTACATCTACTTTGTTTTGCTCTCAATGGAAGATTCAACAGAGAAAACTTGTTACAAGAATTTCCTCCAAAAGAATAATTAAAAGCATGTAGTAACAGTGCATGCGTTTGCTAACCTTTGAGCATGTGTTTTCAGCTTGTGAAAGTTATGATCGTTTCCATTTTTATGAGTAGACGAGTCTTGTCACTTTCTCCTATCTGAATATAGGAATGTGATATGGAAGGGACTTAGAACTGTTGCTGTAAAATGTCACACAGAAGAAAAAAAAAAGAAGATTAAAGTTATTATTTCTATATTGTGAGGAAAGTAAGTCTAGTTTTGTATCTGCCAAAAAGTCTTCTGGAGACAAATGAAATTCCCTGAGATAGCAAAGGAGGCTGCTGTATTTGTATTGAAACCTGACAGCAGTTCAGGGCTTGTTCAAGAATATACTTCATTATCAGTTCAGATCAAAGTTGTTATTAAGCCAGCAAGTAGAGCCGTTTGGTCTCGGACTGAATCAGCAGAAGAGTTTATCTATTAAATAATTCAAAATTTAAAAAGTAGGTATTTTGAAATCCTTTCTGGGAATACTGTCTCTTACCTGTAGACAAACAGGCATGAACAGGGAAGGGGTAGATTACGTTCAGTAGTGCAAATCAGAATTCTTAGTCTGTATCTTCTTAACTTCTACATTTGTGTAAGGTGGAAGTCCTAGAGACCTCATTATCAGAAAATGAGATGATAAAACAAAATCTGTTCTTTAGAAAAATAAATAAAGAAAAAAAAAACCTGTGAAGACTGGATATTTTTTCCCTTGTATCTAATAATAGTAATAAAGCAAGGCTTAAGGAGGATAAGCACACAATGCAAGAAAAAAATTCAACATTGCTGGATTTTCTTAGCTAAAGAATTGGAAATTATGGTCTTAGAGCAACCGTGTCTTTTGAATTAATGTATTAACAGAAGTTGCTTCTTGAATGCTTTGAATTTAATGGAAGCAGTTTCCAAGTTTAAGCTAGTTATATTCTGCTGTAGGAGAAATAATAAAAGTAATTGGCTGGTCAGCCCAAATCTTTCTGGACAGAAGAAGCAATTGAACATGTTGTGGATGTTTTTCAGCAACTTGAATGATGTACATTGGTGTGTGTATAATATTTATATATATGTGTATAGACTCTTGCTTTTCTAGCAACCATTAGTGTGCTCCCAGGAGATGAGATCTCAGATAGTGATCTCCATTCTTGTTGTAAGAATCAACTTTTTTTATTCTTAGAATACCTGTTCTTTGTACTCTGCTTTGTTCCAATCAGAGAAAGTCCTTCTGGAGTCTAAGAGAATTAAGAATAGTTCTAGCAGTCAACCATGACTCACAGACATAACTTTCTGTGTGCAGACTGGTTTGTAGTTCATGTACCAATTGTGAAGATGTAGGCAAACTGAAGTGAAAAATTGTTACCTTATTTTATCAAAAAAATGCTAAAAAAAAAAACCCCTCAACCTAAAATGTCACCTCTTTACTACCACTGTTTAGGGGAGGGGACGGGAAATTATGTTTCTTTATATAATGTGTGTATATATATAAAAATAAATAAAATTTCTATTTTTTTTTTTTCCCCCACAAACCTTATTGGTAGTATCCTTTGCTTACAAGAGTACTTTGCTCACTCCCTGAATTCTGGTAAGGAGAAGCAGCTGATTGAGTAGCTTGTACTGTAAACAAATGCAATGAAAGGACATTTTTTTAATTCTTTTTAAGGTAATTTTGGAAAGAATGCTTTTTAAAAAAAGAAATCTTTCAAAGTGACATTTCAAAATGAGATCATAAGAGGAAAATAAAACTGAATTTGAGGTTCTCATTACCAGAGGATCTTCTTTGTATTCCTTATTTGGGTAAATTAGTAGGTCTGCTTACAGCTATATGTGGTCTTTGTAGTAAGTTTTTTGGAAATATGACCTAAACTTTTATGTTTCATGGCACTAAGTTTTTCTGGGTCATATATTATGTGGTGCTAACTAAACTTCTTAAGAATATGAGAACCAAAGAACAAAACAGCCATACTTCAAAATTTGCTGACATCGTGGGCGTGTTCATCAACTCTGGATTAGCTGGAAATGGCAATGCATACTCTAGTGGCATTTTTGTGAATTTTTTTTCCTGATAATAAAGTCTTGTTTCCTGATAACTGAGGAAGCTATTATTGTAGCTGTCTGTTGCAGTAGCGTATCATGTAATTAAAATAAGCTGTGCTCTACAGTCCTTCAAGAGAAATGAGGCGTAATGAAGCCTTAAAATAGTGTTAAAATTTATGTACAGCTTTTGAAACATGCGTACGCTTTCAAATAAGTTCTTGTCCCACAGACCCGTTCACACAGTTCCATGCAGGCGCTCCTCTGGGAGACGTGGTTACAAGCACACTCGCCTCCCCTGGGAACGCAAGTGCCTCAGGTGCACGCTCCTCCTGTGGAGACATGGGTGCTCCAGCTTCTGCATCCCTGGGCTGCTTCCTGCAGTCTATTAACGTGCACGCCGGTAGAAAGCACCCCCGAGGTCACAGGTGTGCGCTGAGATGTGGGGTGTATATGTTGCTCCCCACGATGTCTGTCCTTGCTGGGCACAGGCTCACCCCAGCATCTGACCAGAGAGGTGACTTTTGATGGCATCAAACCAGGTTTTGACTGCTGCTCTTTCTCCCCACAGTTACAGATGTTCAAGCTTCTTTTATGCTCCCCAGCAAGTGGAGCCCTCCCTGCCCCCTTGCCCTCCCGGTTTAATCAGGCAGAAGGGGGATCTTTCTCCTCTCAGTCAGTTTTGGGTGTTCCATTCACACACAGTGTTTACACAGGCATTGCTATTTTAGCAGCTTTTTTTATCCTTGCCGTTTTGCTGGGGGAGATGTGTGGATTCCCCAGCAGTAGATGACATACTTCTCTGCTTATCTCACAAGATGGGAGTAACGTTCTGCTGTATCACACAGAGTACTTTGAGTCATAATTAAAAGGAACACGTGCATCCAGGCCCCCTAAAGAATATGTTTTGTTCTTCCCAGATCACTCTCCAGAGGAATCCTGATATTTCAGCAGATACTGTTACTAGAAGTATTGACCATATTAAATTGTAACCCATTTCCCCAGGTTTGACTTTCACAGCAAGCCAGAGAAATGGAGGGAAGTACAGTAAAGCTTGTTTCTGTGATGTTTCCAGCCTGGCAGAATTGCAGTTGCTTCTCAGATATTTGTGGCCTTTTTTCCCCCCCTTGTGTTAAGTTTTATTCTGGTGGGAACTCTGACTTTTGTATATTTGTGTAGTCCTGAAATGCCAAGTTATCCTGGCAAAGGCATTACATGTTTTCAGTTTTTCCTTCTTCAGTGAGTTTTATAAGTTGCATATGGACATGTTTTTAAATTTACAGACAGCAGTTGTGACCAATCAGATGTTACTGTTTGCATGAAATTTATGTTCCTGCCCAAAAGAAGATCTGTTTATATTAAATTAGACTATCTCTCCTTCAAGAATGACAGATTCACTTCCAGGAATATCTACTTAGAGCACAAACAAACTCTTCAAATACAAGGAAGATGTCGATACCATTTTAGCGTCTATGAAGAAGAAGCGATTGCCATTTAGTGAGGGGATAATGGGTTCCCAATAATCCTTTTAGCCTCAGAAGGTCTCGGTTAGGAAGTTTTGATTGTTTCACTGTGTGTCGCTACCCATCAGAGACTTCTGCCCTCTGCTGTCACTAGAACAGTGCTGAAACAAAACTGTTGTCCCTCACCACTATTCAAACGTGTCCTGTGCACCAACAGAACCTTAAGATAGCATCTGGAACTGCAGATGTCTGTCTGTCTTTCCTGGTTTTGTGAAAGCTCAGGCTCAGCTTTCATGTTTGTTTGACTAAGGTAAACTTGCAAGAACTTCAGGTACTTGCTGATGTTTGCAAAGTTTCTGCTGTGCAGTCAGCAATTTGATACGCCGTAGCAGATTAGCGTTAGGTGTCACTCGCAAGTGTTGTTTGATGCCACAGCTGCCACAGACTGTTCTAAAACCCAAAGAGTTTTCTTTACTGCAGTGTGTAGATTCTTCTAAAAGAAGTCTGGACTGCTGAACACCTTCCCCTAAAAGCAAGAGATCTGAGCAATGAGGAAGGAGATGGCAATAGAAATGGCGACCTGAGAGGACAGAAATGGACTTCAGAATGGGTATAGTGATGGAGAGACCCAAAGGGCTTGGCTCCGCCAGGGATAAATGGCGTGACAGGAGGGATGCAGATGTGGGGGTCTAGATTAGCTCTGGTGAGAGGGTTGGGGAGAGCAGAGGAAGAAAAGTAGCAGAACTGTTGAGTGCAGAGGGATGGCAATGACAAAATGGGGAGAGTCAAGCTGACAGGTAAAAGAACAGAAGATGTCAGAATAAACATGCAGCAGGACCTAGGGTGAATTACCAATAGACAAGAGTACAAGTTTTCTTTCCAGAGTTCCAAGTAGAATCCTGCGCTATCTACCATCTATGAAGCTGTTTGACTTAATTAAATGCAAAAGTGATATACTTTGCAGGTAAAAGATGTTATAGTTGAGATGGTGAAAATGTCATTTACTGTTTTAAGAAGTGGTGTTAAGAAAGAGTCACATAATTTTTATATTTGAGGAAGTTTAACATTTAAACTAGCCAAATGTTTGCAAACTATGAAGAACTTGAAAGGAATGGAAGAAAAGACTTAAGAGAAAGTTACTGGATTAAAAATGTAGAGAATTGAAAGTATTTATCAAACCTGAAAGTACACGCTGGATTTACATTCTCTAAGAGTATGCCTTTCTGCTTGTTTTGTAATCATTGCACTCTAAACTTAGTCACGACAAAACTAGACTGAAAATATTTTAGAAGTAAATAATACTTAGTTTCTACCCAGATCCTTCTTTAGAATATGAGACTACTTAAGTAAGTATTAGAAATGTTAATGACTGAAACTGGCAGAGGCAATTTCCAGTACTTTTTTTTTTTTAATAAAAATGTGAATATATGGTGCCCAAGCTATTCCATCAGCTTGTAATAGGTCCATAGGATTCAAGGTCTCTAGGTACTGTTTTTCTGAAAGAATTTTGAACTCTGTAGCATTGGTGGTTTATATTATGGTTTGCTAATTAGCCACTTGACGTTTACATGCTGTTTTGAAAAGAGGAGTTTTATTTACATAAGTGATTTCTTCCTCCTGGGTACTTTCCAACCAAAGTCTGTACTCTTCTCAGCTGGAAGGCAGACAGGTAGTCATAACTACCAATTTTCTTCCTGCTGTTTTCTGGCTGATCCTCCTGTCAGATCCTCCATATGCTCTGTGATACCGTTCCCACAACTTTTCTCTGCCAGTTCTTCCTTGATACTGTGTTTCCTTGCTAACTTTGATAGAAGATGTCAAAGCAATTGCGTGGCAAGAAATTGTCATGCAATAAAGTTTTTTCAGTGCTCAAGAAAAACTAAGAAACTTCATAGGACTGTGTAGAGCATACACTAGCTGGATAATTCTGTTGAATATTCAGTTTCAAAATTGTTACCAAGTTAGTATCAGAATTTTTTAAAGTTTGAGTTTATATAAGAGTTCCAAGTGGTACAATTTGCATCTTGTGTCATTTGTGTGGCTGGAAGGACAAGGCTGCATTCTCTTAGAATTACAAGTGAGCTATTCAAGTCAAATATAATGAGGCAATGACTATTCTGAGTATTCCTATGGGCCTTAGGCTGTGGTAAGACTCCGGACACATTTGTTCTATGATTTAGGTAACTTTGTGTCTATCCATAGGTAGAAACTTAATTTTCTGGGAAAACTGAGTTCATAATGAGTTTGGAAACAACAGAGGAGTTATTTCTAATAATGGCACTGACATTGTAGTTTTGATGTGTAAGTACGTTTGGAGATCTGGTGCTTCAGTTCTTGTGGCATCTCAAAATGTGAACTTGTTGGGTCAAATGCTATCAAAGATACTTTGCAAGTCTTACCTGGTCTCACTGAGTGGGGTCAGTGATGTCTAAAATTAGCCTGTAGAATTGCCTTTTGACTGCTTTGGTTCCCAGTATTTTAAAAAAGTAATAGTTAGTACTTTTGAGACTAGTCATTCTAATGATAACTTTTCATATTTCACCTTTTCCTGGCTGCTCTGTCCTAGGCATCCTAGAGGAGGATCGTTTATCCGGCCAAACAAGGCAAATTTTGGAGTAGATTTTCTTACTGCAGTAAAGGATCGGTACGGATTGAATGATGAGCAAGATGTTCAACATGGGACAGAGCATACATTAGTATTTGGAAAGAAGACTGTGGAATTTGTTGGCATGGATTCTATTGCAGAACAGCAAAGGCAAGTGTAATATATGAAAATCTAAGATACGTTCTTAGTGATTGATTAGTCAAGTAGTAGTTCAACTGTAAGGAAAGGAAGCTGGCTGCCTTGCATATAATATTGTCACATCTCTAAAAGTAAGCCAAACTGCACTATGGTGGAAGAGGCAAGAAATCTTCCTATTGTGGCTTCATAATTTACCTGTTTTATGGATAGGAACTGGGATTATGTCGTGTTTGAGTGCTCACATTCCTCATTTTGATTTCACAAAGTAGGAGGTGATGATATTTAGGGAGGAATGAGTGAGATAAATTATCATTATATTGGCAATCATTATACACATGCATGGTCCTTTTTAAGTAGATGTATTTAATATTTTCTTAATATTGCATAATATTATTTCACCTTTGTTTACTCATATCAGTAATGACTTTGTACTAAGAGAGGGAAGGCAGAAAGTCACTGTACTGCTAGTGAAGAAGTCTGTCAGTCAGTTCATGTGATGTTCATTTATCGGGAAGGGTAAGAAAGGAAGTAACTTAATGATGTGTAACAGATTGCAGTTTTAATGACCTCCAGCAGTAGAGAGGTATCAATTCAGTAGGTGGCAGTCTCCTTCTGAGTTGATATTCCACAGCTATGCTCCCTTTGTCTCCCAGAACGTACTAAGCAGTTGCAAATACTCCTTTTTTTGTCTTTTTTGATAAGTGATACAAAGAATGCCCAAATAACTTAGAACTTCTTGCAAAGAGTATTACAAGCAACCTGTTAAACTTGGAACCTCTCATTAAATTCCAGTTTGCATAGCTATATTTTGTCTGTTTTATCGCTCTCTTTTTCAGTTGGATGAGGGTGGGTTGGGTTTTTTTGGGGGTGGGGGTTGCGGTTCAACCAGACCTATTTTGTAGTAGCAACGTAAAGGCAAAAAGTAGAAGAAATGTGTCTGGTTTCGTGTAAGAAGGACACTGCCATGTAGCAATCTGCACATCGCTAATTCTAAAGGAAACGATATGTATGAAAAGGGTATTATTTAGTTGTAACAACTAGGTATTTATATAACGTACCTATTTCTGTTTGAAGATTACTTAACAGAATGTTCTTTCTCATTTAGCCAACTGAACCAACTGGTAGATATCTCAGTGCGTGAGTGTGCAGTGAGCCATGCTGGTCGGAAAGAGGAAATCAGCAGAACATGTGCTAGTATCCTTTTTTGCTATATTGCGTGATACCACAAATAAAGTACATATTTTAGCATTCCAAGTGTTCACTTCAATGAATGGTATTTGTATCCTTTTATTAAAAAATGTTTAAAACTGCAGTTTATATTTAGAAGCTTAATGCAATGTTTAGAGTTAAAAAGTAGATGCCTGCAATTTTTGAGAGGGAATGCAAATTGTGGATAGAAATAGAAATATTGTCATAGGTTGCTACTGTGACTGCAATTTCAGAAGGCTCCAGCAATGGCGATTTTTTAAATTTAACTCTAGAATAGATAAAAATACAACTGATACATCCTGTAGGCATGAGAAGTTTCCAATATATAATAAATAATGTATTCAATATACTGCCTGTTGTAGCAATGTTACAGAAATACAAAGCAGGCGTTATTTGTTCATTTATAAGGACTGGTAAGAGTTCCTGTGAATACAGAAATTAATCCATTTTAAGATTTGTAAAGTTAAGCTCTTTTATAAAACTATAAGCCATTTCCATACCACAAATCAAAATAAAATTTGCTGTAACTGAGCAGTAGATTCTCTTAGCCCAAACACGTGTAATCTACTTCTGTTTATTTGATTCAAAACCAAACCCTAGTTCTAATTTCTGAAAAAGGAAGTTCAGATTTGAGATAAGTTTCTTTTTCCTAATGTGAAATTTCAGATATCAGGCATATAAATCTATCAAAAAATCTGATATCGTCTTGGGAGACAGTAACAGCTATTGCTTCTCAAGTTCAAAATCTGGAAACACTTAATATCAGGTATAAATATTCTTATTTGGGTTTCTGCTCCTTTGGGGTAGGGACAAAAAAGAAGATGCTCTTCTAGATACAGGGTCGGCTTTCTAAAGGCAACTGGATGCCTCAATACTCATTTTAATGGGAGCTAAGTTTTTAAATACTTTTTTTTTTTTTTTTAAATCTTGTACTTAACTCGTGTCTGCTATATTTTTCAGACATCCCTTTTCAAGGAAAGACTAGAACCCTAGCAGTTTAGCATCTATGTAAAATTAAATTCTGGAGAAGTGCTTGGAACAGAGAGATGTTGACTGGGGTTTTGTAAAATTAGAAAAATCACAGTTGTCTGAAAAATAGCATACAGATTTCAGCCATTAAACATTTACAGGAATTTAGGCGTTTGTCAATGTGTTCTGCATAACAGATTTCATCATTTGTATGCAAATTGGCTTGTTGGCTAGGGAGACTGGATTAAAACGCATTCTAGATTTTTACAGGCTGCTGTAGACTCTTTTAAGCAGTTAGACTGAAGGTAAAAAACATTACTCCAAGTACTTTTATAGAAATGAGGAAACAGGTGGTATAGAAACTTAGGCTTACAGTGTCATAAGATGCCCTTACACGCTTCTGTGACATCTAAGACAATTAATTCTCTTGATTTTAAAACTTAGTTTGCCCCAAGGCAGAACTCACTTAATATGTGTATGCGTCCACATTGCATGTGTACAGTGAGTCTGATCTGCAGCAAGGAGACCAGCGTCAGAGCAGGCATAGCCAAATTTGCTGGGTGCATGTGCAGCAGGTCGGACTCTCTGGATACCTGCGCGTAGGGTCTGCCTGGCACTGGCAGGGTGCGGGGACTCTGCTGGCAGATGGGCCCCTCAGAAGAAGCCAAGACCTTGAGGTGGCACTGCTGCAGGAGTTTGCAGCCTGCCTGTGAAAGCACTACTAACGCATCCTTATCACTTAAAAATCTCGCTTAGCATTTTTTAGTTAGGTTTAGCAGTAGCTATCTGTTTGCCTTCTGGGTTTGCAAACTTGTTTGGGGTTTTTTTGTGAGCTTAGAAAATTTTTTCTGCATAGAAAAACTGTAAAGTAAATATATTTTCATTTTCTTTTAAAGTCTTTCCAAGTGTCTTAAGGCTTTATCTCTGGTTTTTATCATTGTTGATATATTCTGACTGTCCAGGCAAGTTTAGGAGCCCACTTTTGTTTAAGAATGATGCTTTACCAACAATGTCTTGACACCAAACTAAAATATCCATAACGCTTTAACCAAACCTTAAGCAACCCAAGACCCAGTCTATTCCTGTCCAGAAATGATGCAGATAAGAACTGTGGATCATGGTTGCAGACCTAGGGGAAAAGCTCTTGTATAGTGATGGTATTGGAAAAGGAGGGAGGATGTTGTTAAATAAAGCTGCAATTCCATCAAAACAAGAAAGAATTCACAAAATAATTTCTGGTACACACCTATATACTAGCTGGCACATGCCAGAATAATTTTCTGGTGTGAACGAACACAATGGATTATAGTTTGTAAATAGGTAGCAGCCTAAACCACTAATTTTGAGAAGTTAATGTTATAGCTGCAACTTCAGGAAGTTTGTTTTATTGTCAAGGTTAACACCTTGACTGCTGACTCTTTAAGCAGAGTTTTGGAGGTCGTACTCGGCATTGAAGACAGCAGCAGGGCAATAGGCCTGCAGGCAGAAACCCAAAATACGACTTTTTTTTTAGAGTCTTGGAGTTCTGTGTTGAGTTTAGCAGCTTCCAAAGCCTTCATTGTACAGTACATACAATGTGGCTAAAACAATTGGAAGTGATGTAAGCTAAATTGAAAGAAATGCCAAGTTAATTTAATAAAAAAGCAACGCCAGTTTTTGTATTTGTTCTTACAGTTAATGTGACAAAAATGTGTTTTTTAAATACTTGTATAGGTGTTCCATTTTCTTCAATATTTAGCATTGAACAGCTGTTTGCAACCTGGGTGCTATTTGTAAATCTAACTTTGCCTAGAGCATATGTTGTCATGATGTATTATTATCAGCATGCATGAGAATACAGAGAATTTATTTTAATTCACCTAGAATAATTTTTGCAGTTTTTCATTGCTCAGAAGTGTAGTCTAGGCTGAAGGGCTCTCAGAAGTTATTTGTGATAAAGTGGGAAAGCAAAATGGGATTGATGCTGGAATCTGATGCTTATGGCTACCAACTGAAATAGTCTGAATTTGTTTTTTATTGTTTTGACCTTCCATTTACTTTAAAAAAGAAAGACATTAACAGGTAAGTCTGTTACTGAATTTTTTGTGGAAGGAATGTTGGAAGAAGAGTAAAAGTGATAAGCCATTCACCAGCTCTCGAAGAGGTTTTTAAATGGGGAAATTTAACCTATAAGTATGTACGTATAACTATACTGAGAGATTTTTATCATAATATGCAGGTAGATCAGACCTTAGGAAAGAAATAATAACTTTTGTTTGGGAGTGAGTAATGAAAACTAATTTGAAGACTGCAGATTTGAGAATCTTTTAACTATTTTATACTGTTATTTTGCTATTGAGAGTGGATTTTACATCCTTTTGTTTTAGTGGGGTCTGGATAGTCATGTAGGTTCTTTATTTTCAATTGACACTAAGGAATTTAAGCCCAAAATTTGACTTTGTTTCATTTAATATTAGTGAAAATCATTCTTTTCATATTCAAAACTTAGGGGAAGAAAAGGGAGGAAGGGGACCACAGGTGAACAAATACGCATTCATGAAATAGGAAAGTAAGTTAGGAAGGAGTACATTTGAATATGACTAGAAGGGTGTTTTATAATATTTTTAAAATAATATGTGACACCTCGGCAGTGACTTTTTAAATTTTTTTGTGTAAATTGTTTTTGTCTTTAATATGTAATTCCAAATTAGTGACTTAAAGAAATGCAATTATTAATTATGCTATTAATTATTCTTTTTACACAGTGAAAACAAAATGAAATTTCCATCTACATCAACTTCTGTATCTGGTGTATTTTCAAAATTGAGGATTCTGGCACTTAATCAAACTGAGATAACATGGACAGAGGTAATAACCTTTCCTGGTTTTGTTTTTGTTTATATCGTTAGGTTTTTGAGGCAAGGAAAGCACAATGAACATTTATTCATTATCTTATTCTACTGAAATGTACGCATCCTTAGAAAAGGTGCTGTGGCTTAACTGTATTAGTTCCGTAGTAACTAACGTAGTTCCTACATAACCTAGGAAGTTATATTGGCACAGGAGTCTAATAAGAAACATTTAACTTCATCTACATTTGTAAATTACCAATACACCATGCCTGGTTGTATGCAACACAGATACAGCACAAAACAAACAAAGCTCTGACTTGTTTCAGGGACTGAAACATGCAAACATTTAAATGACTCTCCCCTAATACGATGTCTTATTAAGAATGAACTCCTGTTGTCAAATATGTTAGCAGTGGGCCTTTTTTCAGAGATGGGGCTTACGAAGCACATCTCAGTAGTGCCACGTTACTTATAATGGCTTGTAAATTCCAGCCTATTATTTTGATTTCTCAGGGGCAGATTTTGTATGTACTGCATTGTGAAATTACCTGAATTTTCAGATTTTTGCTGCCAGCCACTATCCAGTAATAGAGCGCTCACCAAAACTGGGGTTTGTGTTAAGTAGAAAGAAACTTCTTCGTTCTCTTGTCTTGCAGCAGGGCTAGAGGAGGTTCGTTGCTATATATTTGTTTAGTGTCTATTCACTGTGCTCTTAAACCAGCAGTGGGGTTTATGCTAGGACAGTTGATAACCTTTCCATACCAGCAGCAGTATGAATGGTGAAGTGAATGGAAGAATTAAGTGGCTACAAACACTGTAAATGGCATCTAGTGCTCAGCAGAGTAAATTTGTGCATCGCGGTGTTTAAAATGTTGGCAGCTGCCAGCAGCTCTCCTCCATACCTGCGTGGCCGAAAGGCTGGTTGGAGCCTTGTTTCAGGCAGGTTAGAGTTCTCTAGGGGTAACTAAGTTTCAGAGAGAAGCCCCAGGATAGTCAGAGCAGTTTAAAATTACATAGCTTTTGCATTTGTTTTTGAAACTCTGTTCTAGCTGATGATTCATCATAGGTGGTAAAGGTATTTTCGGTTCAGAAATCTTTTTTATAAAATAGAAATTTGTTTGATTCATTCCTTTGTAAGTGGGGAGAAATAAGCCTGTGCTTAAAAGTGGTGTTCCAGGGCAGCCAGACAAAAGGGAAAAAATAAAGGGACCTACCTGACATTAATACCCTGTGAGCAAACCACTTGAAAATGTTACTGCTTAAGGTATATGGGGGGTTACTTTGAAAGGTCAACTTTTTAATAGAAAGTAATAATGAATATGATCCAGGCAAAAGAGAAATGCAGTGGTTGTCAATGGGAATATAAGCAAAGTCTGAAAATCCTACAAATGTTTTAATTAAAATTAAAACAATTTAATGGTGAACAGCATTTCGAAATAACTTGTTGCCATATGTAAGAATATATGGCATGGCGATAGTTTTTAAAAAGAAGAGAAGACTTGGGTTTTTTTTTCCATTTGTTCCTCTGTTTTGAAATATTTTTCACAGTAGAGGGACATGCTTCACTGTTACGCAGTTACGCATAACTCCACATTTACATGCCTTGAGCATCAGTTTTCCAAAAAGTTCTTTCATTAGTATATTAGATGCATATATCTAAATACATCTGAGATTTCTATTAATATATCAATAAAAGAGCTTATTACTGTATAATTTTTGATTGATTGTTCAAAGCATGACATATAACCTTCGGGGGGGAAAGGAATCCTGTAAAATATCTTAGTTAGAAACCATTGACGTAGAAACTGAATTAATGCATTTGAGAGTAATGAATTGATATTTATGGCTCCAAAAACATTTCTTCTTATTCAGCATTTAGATCATAATGTTATATTTGTCATTCTGTTTTCAAACTAAGATCTTCTATTTATAAAATAATCTACTGTTATACAGGGTAAAACAAAAACCTGGGTCAGAGCAGAGGTGCAGGATCATGTTTCTGACAGTGGCAAAGAGCAGGTAGTTGGGAAAAATTCTAGGCAAAGGGCAAGCATATGGTAAGAGCTTCTTATAAAGTAATCTGGAATTGTGGGGCTTCCTGAGCTGGAGACCATATACTGTGTTCAATTAGTCTTTGTGGATTTTTTGTTTCATGATTTATCTAACTGTGTTAAGAACCCATTTGAAAATGTTGATATCCACATCTTTTAATATTGGTTTAATTATGTGCTGTATGAAAAAATACCCTTTTTGGTTTTTGATCTTGCTGCCTGATAATTTAATGTAATAATTCCCAATATTTTATGTGCAAGTAACTGAAACAGCTATTCTCTGTTTCATAGCTTTGATGATTCTTGCTAAGCTTCTTTGTGCCTTTCCCATTTATATTATTTGCTTCCCGGGATAAAGAGACTAAAAATATAGGAACATCATGGACTCACATGATGACAGTTGTTTCTTGTTGTCTTTATTTCTTTTGCAGCAGGTCTTGGGTTTCCATCTTTCTTTTCCGATCTTTTTTGAGCAGCAGTGGCTACTCCACGGGCTGCCCGCCCCAGCCTCCCCACCAGCTACCCACAACAAGCCCTGATCTTCCCCGAGTGTTAGTTTGGTGTCAGATCTGTGAACATTTGTTTCTGTATGGAAGCTGTTTTAAGCAATAGTTGAAAGTCCGGCAATTTGAGTTTCTTAGAATTGTGATATCATTTGGTTTTGGCAATTTTCTAGTCATTGGGTCAGTCTATTGAAAAGTCTCGATACTTCAGTTTTGTGCGGTTTGTCTATTCCATCCATCACAACGCAGGGCTCTTGTGGGGGAATCCCCCAAAGGTTCTCTGTGGTGAACAGAGAGCACCTCATTTCTCTTGACTCTGCAGCCGCCTTTTCACGCTTCCTCGTCGCTAATAGATAAACTATTTTGGACTGTCTTGTTGACACAGGGAAACACTATCCAAATTGAAGAGATAGATAGATAGAATACCGGTGTTTTCTGCTCTTGCACTGGAGCAGGAAAAGTTGTTATATCTGAGTTTATAAGTTTACATGTGTTGCAGATAAGGCAGCAGGATGATGTTTCATTTTTCTGGGTGCGGAGCAGCTGAGCCCCAATTCATATGCCACCACTTGAAGCGATCTCAGTGTTAATATTTCATGTTGTATATATAATGAGACAGTTACATCCAGCTGTCTAACTTTGTACAGCTGTAACAGAGAGAATGAAGCGTAGTTGATGAAAGGAGGCTTTTTGGTGTCCAGGATAGTAGACATTTCTAAAAGAATTGGTTAGCTATATACAAAACAAATTGAATTTGGTTGTCCGGGTCTCTGACCTTCACTGCTTTGTAACCTTTGTAACCTCCTGTAAAAACGAGCTTTAGGCGATTATGCTGTGCACGTGTACGTCTGTGTTCTTGCATCTCAAAAACTTTGAATCTTCTAGCCAATTTCAAACACATTTTAAAAAGAGGCAGGGGCTTAAAAATAATTTTATTACCTACAAATTCCAAGAAAATAGGAATGTAGATGGAGGAAAGAGCCCCTCCCCGTGGTTTCTTAACCAAGGAAGGAGTAGCAGGATGAGCTTGCACTTAATTTGACTCCGGAGAATACACACAAGAAAAAACCTCAGTGAAAAAAATAATTTGCAGCTGACAGGCACAGATCTGTAGGACACCGGTCAGTTCCAGTGCTTATGGAACTCCATTTGCTAAAACTGCAAAATTTTTGACGCTGTCACAGTTGCATACAAAACTGGGGTTTATGCCAGCAATTTCTATTGCTTTTGTAGTAAGTGTTTATTTTTAGAAGTTGTGTTATCTGCTGTAGATGTTTGCAAAAAAAGTAAACTAATAATTTTAATGTAATTTCAAGACATAAAATTTGAAACAAATGCATCTTTGTTCAATTTGTAGCCTTTTTGAACTGATTTGTTTTCTTTAGAGTACTTGAAAACTTCGGGGTATGTGCTGACTTAATGCAATTCTCGGTTTTTAGTGGTTTTGCATGCTGGTGCAGTCCCGTGACAGAGAAGCCTTCAAGCTCTGATAAATTAAGATATTTTAAAAGTCTGTCAGACCTGATGAGATGTGCAGAAGTCCCAGGACCGCTGGCAGTCGAGTGTGTACTGCCATTTCCTCACCTCATCATAGCGAAAATCCGATCACTCCAGCCCTGCTGAATAAAATAAACTCCGTTTCCAGGTCCCACAGTCCGAGGCAGGGCAGCTGCTAGCCTCGGGCCTGGAACTGCAAGTCCCGTGACTGTGCAGAACCCCCTTGGTGTCATCTGTGCTGGTAGATCCAGACACAGGAAGGAGCCAGCTGGAAGAAAGGGCGGGCTAGGCGATCCGTCGCACTTGTTTCTCTGTTTTGGGGAGCTATGGCTTGTTCTGAACATGTTCTGAGGAAATCTGCATAAAGTATAATTTCTGGAATAATTTTTCCCAACTTTTGTTACATTAAATGAAGTTTTGCTCTTAGGTTCTTCTTTGTGCTTCAGGATGGCCAGCACTTGAAGAATTGTACCTTACTTCTAATAATATTACAGTTTTGGAAAGGTAAGATGAGTAACATCAGTCAGTCGTTCGTGACTGATGTACTGCAAAGTTATATAGCAGATAAAGTTACAGTCCTGTAATGTTTACATCACCATGACATAATTGTAAAATAAATGATGCAAACTTCACGTGATGTGCTTCAAAACATGTATAAACATACACAATTATTACTTGCATGCAGTTATATACTCAGAAAACTAGTGTTTCCATTAACAAATAACTTTAGATGTTCTGCGTTTGTGTTTTTGGTTTTTTGCAACGTGGCAGGCCTGATAACGTCCTGCAGACCCTGAAGCTGTTAGACCTTTCAGAGAACCAGTTACTGGATGGAAATCAGCTGCATCTAATAGCACATCTTCCCAGGTAGCTGTTAAACAAATGTGCTGGAAATTCTTTGTCCTGGATATTCATCTCCATAGTCTTCGTTGACCGAAATATGATAGTATTGATGTTTCATGGAATATTTATGGAATCTTGAACTAGAGGCATTTTGCCCTCTTGAGGAGTGTAACTGAATTATTTAGTTGAGCTATTTTAATATAATCTTCTTTTTGTTGTATAGTAACACATTCTTAAGCTGTATATTATTAGGTTTTCATTGTATACTTATGAAAAGAAAGTGATTTATCATGTTACTAAGTTAGTTATATATTAGTATGCATCGGGTTTTATCCAAGATGACAGCACTGTAGAGTTTGTGTGGAGTGGCAAAGCAAAGGAGCTATGCAAGTTGTGTCTTAGTAACAGGTTTCTGGCCACGACAGTGTCGTGCAGGTTCATCAGTAGCTGCACAGCCATCTCGGGGTCATTTGAGCCTGAAGAAGACTGTTGGGCGGTTTGTTGAAGGTGTCACTCCTGAGGCTGACACGCTAAAGATGGTTGGTGATGGACGCTTGCCATGAGCGCTTTACGCCCGTGGTGCCTACTTATTTGTAAAGAAAGCAAAACAAAGAGGGGTTGGAGGGAGGTAAAGTTGGTAGGGAGGTGAGTTGGAGGGAGGTAAAAAAGTGTGGTGATAATTCTTCCCCGCCTCTGTGAACTGCTCTTGATTGTTAGCTGTGGGGAAGGTTGCTGTGGCTACTCTGCTGGTAGGGGTGTGTGGCACATCCTCGGCACAGGCGCTCGCTTTTGGAAGTTTCAGTGCTTTTTGGGGGTAGCTTGAAGACTTTGAGAGAGACATGCTTCAAAATTTAAAACCCAAAAACCGAACAGTATAATTCCCATACTGCACTGCGTAAATGTGTTTCCGCTTTCTCAAAAGCATGTCTGTGGCGATCCCTTTACACAGATTCTTCTGGTCTACGGTACTCTCAATAGCAGCGTCCTTATGGTAGGAACAGGCTTGAGCTACGATTCCTTGCTTTGGGGTTACCATCCAGGGAACGTAGGTGTGCGTTCCTTAAGCGCTTCAGTTACAGTGACAGGAATATTGTGAGACTAATACAATAGTTTTGTTAATTTGTGGAATTAATTATTATCTCGCACTGTACACTAAAATAGCAGCCGTGGTTTTAAATAGCCACAAGCTATTTAAAAAAATCATTTGGAAAATCACACCTTTGAAATCCAGGAGCCATTTTGAAAGCTTGAAAGTATTGCACTTATTCTCGGACAAATTTATTCCCTGAACACTCTGCTGAAGTCTGGGTACTGTCTGTGAAGCTGCTGTTCCATTGTCAGTGATTATGCATCATGTCAAAAGTTTATTAGATCTTTGTTTAAAAAAAAATTGGGTAGTATTTCTTTTCAAAAAACTTCCTGTGCCATGTACAGTAATCATTGTATCTATGAAATTTCAGATTAGAACAGCTAATACTTAGAAACACTGGAATATCTTCTATACACTTTCCTGATGCCGGACTTGGTATGTAAAAGTACTAATTTATTTATAGCTTTATAATTCTGTTTATTTAAAGTTTTCGCTATTGTCTTGTAAATTTACTCTTTTTCCTAGGATGCAAGACTAAAATGTTTCCTTCACTAAAACGCCTTGCAATAAACGACAATAAAATATCACAGGTAGGTTAGATTGCGATAGTTTCGCATTTCGTAAATGCATGTATCTTTGTTTAAGAGTAACTTGCAATTTGCTTCTTTAAAATTTCTTTGATGGTATGTGTAAGATCCAGCAGTAACTACTGAAGACTTTGATCAACACAGAAGCATAATTTAAAAATTTAAAAATATTTCCTAACGTCTCAGTTAAACATCTTCATGGTAGCTAGTCCTGTCCTTCTCCTACCTCGTAATTCCTCTCGCAGAATTCTAATGATCTAAAATGCTGCGTAGTTCCCCATTTATTGAGGTTTTTTTACTTAATTAAATGTAATGCAGTTTTTTCCTTAGCTAAATGAACAGGATGGGAGTACTTGGTTCTGCTGACCAAAAGAATAGTTTCGGTCATGGGCATTGTACAGGAAAAGTCAGTGTTACTGTGTATTGTTCTGAACTGGAGTATGTTTTATGTTTCCTCAAAAGACTGCTCCCTTCCATTTCAGTGGTCATCTATCAATGAGCTTGATAAACTGCCATGTTTGCGGTCACTGCAGTGTCACAATAACCCTTTCATGGACACAGAGAAGAACACAGAGACCCTGAGACAGCTAATTATTGCCAAGATAAGTCAACTGGAGGTTTTGAACAAGTCTGAGGTACGTGATAATTCAACGGATTGCATGAGCCTGGGGAAAAACATTAAATCATCGCCTGAGGAATTGGTTCCAGTTTCTTTTAAGATTACTGTTTGGGTGGGTGCAGGACTATTCCATCACCCAGTCAACGGGGCACTCAGCAGGGCTACAAGATCCAGCCCTGTTTGTGAACGCTGCTGACTCGGTGGGGACCAGGACAAGACGGAGGAATGGTGGCTTTCTTCAAGTGCCCGAGTCGTGTTGAAGTTGCAGGACTGTTAACAAAAACCATACTCTGGCCAAAAAAAACCCCAAAAAGCAGCATAGTTGAATCTGTTTCAGTGACAGTAATACCAGCATTTGCCTTCCGTAATAGGAAAATAGCATTATCTAAACCAAATCAAACCGTCAGCAAATGTTTATCATAAAAGAGAGCAGAAGCAGCATCTGTTCCGTAGCTACAAAAACCATCCTTGCGTCATCATATGCAGTAACATCTTTGCTTAAGTGTTCATTTATGATCAGTCAGTACACAGAGGTAGGGTTGTAAGATTCTTAATAGCTTTAAAATGTACTGAATATACGGATCAGTCAGCACTTGGAGACAGGGTCTGTAAGATTCTTGGTAGCATCAAAACATACTGAACACCTAAGTAAGAGCAAGGAGTCCGTGTCATTCATGAATGAGACTTTCTTCTCTGGAAAGTTGTGTAATCTGCTGAAAGAAAAGGAGCAGAGCTCGATTATCGCAAAATATTTGGAAATGACTGGTTAGCAGCTGGTGGGAATTGGAACCCGGAGAAAAACAAACCCAGTGAAGAATTTCTTGCTGCCCATCCCAGATACCCATCGCTTTGTCTTAGTAAGTACCAGTACAGTAAAATCAGCACTTCCTCACTTCTGGCATTGTGGTAGCACTGGTTTGCTCTCTCTTCAGTTTCCCTTCCTCTTGATGCTTTTTCCATGCGCTTTGCGAGTGGCTTTTGCTTCCGTGGGGCAGCCGCGTCGTACTGCGCCCTTCTGGGCACTGCTGCCTCAGGGATGGCACCTGTGAGCCTCTGCCCCATACCTCTAGGAAAATAATAGCATTATCCTATCTATCTCTGCCCCATAACTGCTGGTGAGCAGGCAGCGGCTGTCTCCACCTGGGGCTTTTTGAAAGTGGGAATGTTTGTTAAGCAGCACCTCCGCATGCCTGTCACCTGCTCCACCCCGTGCCGGCGCGCCCTCCTAAATGCTCTAGCCGTTGGGCAAGGCTCGTGTCTGCAGCACTCGACGTGGCAGGAGCCCACTGCCTCCTGCGCTCGGTATCCCAGCTGCACGGGCTCGTGCCGGATCCGGCACCGCACTGCTCTTAGGTCTGCTGCTGAGTTTTAGTCTTGGAAGGGTTCACGTCTACCTGCACTTCCCTTCACGCAGAATACGGCACACCTGAAGAAGGAGAGCTGAAGGGACGACAGCCTTTGACTCTCAAAAATCAGCTTCTGAGTAAGAGGCCAGAAATGGTCAAATCTGTTCTTTCTGCATTTAAGATATTTTACGAGCTTAGTGTTTTTCCCTGGGTGTATATGGAGAATAAAAGGTTCAAAAGCCTTTGGGACGTCACAGAGTTCCAGCTTATAATTTCTGCTTCTCTGAACTGCGTGTATCAATGAGTTTGACTAGACACCTGCTTCTGTGTACTCTAGCTCATTTCCCCCTCAACCCAAGCGGTTTTCTTAATTAAGACTTAATGGAGAATAGCGGTAATCAATACTCCATTCTGACAGCGTGAATGGCTTTGCTACAGAAGACATTTGAGATTTTAACCTCAATAGCTGCACTGGTTTCCGATAATTTTTTCTTTTTTATAGCTTATAGTCAAGGAAAATGTGGGTAGCTTTGGTATTTGGGGCTGTCTACGTATTTAAACCAGGTTACATCCCAGCCTTACAAATTCACTTGGCTTTGTTTCCCGGTTGATAGAACTGAACCTTTTTTTTACTCCATGGGCAAAACAGTACTTTAAGGCATTACATTCTAATGCATTTAGCTGGAAGACTAAATAGAGCAAGGAGCTAGTTGGCTAGACATAATAGAAACCTTTTTCAAGGATGAGTCTTTTTCTCTCTGTAAAAGAATTAGGCTAATAACTTCCTTAAAATGTGCTTGTACGGTGCTTTTGAGATATTGAGGGTCAAAAACCTGCTTTAAACTGAGTAAGCAGTTCCCATTCTACTGCAGGTTCTTTCAAAAAGTTAACTAGAAATTAAGCGTTTTTAGGTAAATACTCCTCTTTACCAAAAAAAAATGTTAAGTATTAGGGAGTCGCTTTTAAAATACTTTCCCTAATTTACCAAGGATGAATAAAACCTTGATTATTTTAAGAAAATTACTTCTAATTTTTCAGAGAATGACAAAATGCTATCGTAGCTGCTCAGATACAGGCTACATCCTCATTTTTTTTAGAAGATCAGGCTGAGCTAGGGGAAACAATTTGTAATAAAAACAGACTAGAAAGACTCTGCTCCTGACAGAACAGGGCTTAACGTTCATTCACTAATGCCTCACCGTTCTTCCTTAAGCTTTGACAATTAAATGTCCTGAGAAACCTGAACAGAAGCCAGTAGAGAAAAAGCTACCAGGTAAGAAGTCTTGGCTTGTGTTTAAGCAGTTGATTTGTAGCTCCTTTTCAAATGGCTGTATTAAAGAATGGCAGCTGCCTCTGGCTTTGTCAGCTCCTGAAGATTCTCCCCTGAAGACTCTGTCATATAAAGAAATGACAAAGGTAGAAATTGCTTGAAAAAGTCATTATTTTTCTGACCTTCATACTTACTTTCAGTCCAGCTTCAAGAGTGACAGCTGACGCTTGTCTTATGACCTCTGCTGCTGGTTTCGTGATTCATGTGTCTGAGGCAATCAAAGGCTAATTAACTGGCATGAAGTCTGGTGGACGTGTTAACCAAACAACATAGAACAGGAAGTTGTAAGAGCCAACTACGTAGTCTGCATTTCTAGATACTGAGGTCTGGTATCTAATACATGAAGTGAGAAATCTAATTCTGGCCTGTATCAAATTTGCCTTTTAGTGCCTGTAGCGAGACTAGAATGACTCGACTTTGTTCCCAATCAAACTGATGTTTTGAAAAGATGTGTCAGAATGCAGTCTGAGAGAAGAGACTTACTCAAGCTTTATTCTAAAATAAAAATCACATTTATTATCACAAGTTGCATAAAATCAGATAGATACAGCTTTTACAAAAAAGTTTGATAGAAAAATATTTGTCTAAGTACAATGTGTGGTATTACAGGAATAACTCGCTATTGCTGTGCCTTTAGATAAAGCTTCAACAGAAGTGAAATTCAACTAAAATATTGAGTATATCTATCTATTGCAAACACAGGTGTCACCTCTGGAACAAACTACATTTACTCATTCAAGATCCATTACAAAAAATATCCCTCCGTGTAACTGACTTCATAATATAAACCACTCTACGACTCTGCTGGCAATTTGTTTGGGACTAATTAATGCAATACCATTTCTAAGAATGGCACTAGTTCCACAGTGACATTTGCTTATTTGTGCCGGGAAAGCCAATTCCCGGTAAGGAAAACGTCAAGGAACAGTCGCCAGATGCAAGTAGTCAGAACCTGACTGGTATGTGTCCCAAAGGTCACTTAGTTTAGCATGTAGTAAATACAAACTCAAAAAAGGTAAATTATGAAGCCGTAACACTTGAGTTTGGTATATGGGATCAAAGCGCTTAAACCGTAGTAGGATATCCTGTCCTATCCGCCAGAGATTAAACCATTTTCAATTTGATATTAGCAGTTATGGTTTCGGGTACAAAAGCCATTATTACAGTGTTAGAACTGAAGCAGCAATACAGCCTTTCACTGTTGCTATAAGCAAGTACAGTTGAAACCCTAGTACTTTGCTACAGCTCAGTGGTAGCAGCATTTTCCTAATACCTTTTCTTTCTTTCCCCATGACAGAGTCTATGACTATTCAGAGGGTCAAAGGATTGCTGTATCGCCTACTTAAAATTCCTGGTTCAGAACTGAAACTGTCCTACGAAAGTTCTAAGGTGAGTTAAAAATGGGTAATTCAACAATAAAATACTGCATGCTGCCAAAGGGCAATAGCATGTGCTAAAATACTACCTCATGGAATGGCTTTCACTTAAGGAGGGCAGTCTTCATGCTGTAATTTGGGACCTAGTTTCATTCCTGTAATATGACTGATCCTCCCTGACGGCAACTGCCTGATCTATATTTGGTTTACATGAACGGATTTCAGTTTAAGTCTGATCAGGTTGGTTTTTTTTCCTTTCTTATTCCAGCTGGAAGGGAAAGAAGTGGAACTAGACAATGACTTAAAGCCTTTGCAGTTTTACTCAATAGAAAACGGAGACTGTGTGTTAGTACGGTGGTAAGAAGGGACTCTCGTGACAGACTGAAGGGAAAGCCAACGCTGGAACTGCAGAAGAGTAACGGACTGCCCGCAGCCAGCCTGTGCCTGAACACACCTGTGGGAGAACGTGCATTCCATACGTGGCACCAGAGGGCTATGCAACAACTTAATCGTCAGTCTCCATGAAAGCATTTGCTCTTGGCTGAATTGCCTTACTTGAGAGATACCAAATAGTGCTTAAATGCCTCAATTAAATAAAGCTCAAGGTAACTTTTGCCAAGATTTTATACTACCTTCCCATTGCAACTCTGAGAATTTGTTTTACTGAACTGAGTACCCGATTTAGTTGTGATCTCTTTGCTTTTAGTAGGACAAAATTAGTGCTGCACTGGAAGAGGCTACTTGCTCTTTTGTTTTCACCTACTTCCAAAGACCTTAAAGCAAACAAAAGTCAAACAGCGGTAATCGTAGAAGTATCTACAGAGCCTTAGACTATTTAAGGTCAAAATCTGACAGACCTTTACTCTACCCTACAGCGTCACCATACCACAGTTTAAATAAGTCCTTGGCAAGGCATTGCTGTTTATTTTACATTCTTTAGTGGGCTGTTCCTCAATCTTATTTTACTTCCACTTGTGTACGCTCAGGTTCATGCCTAGTAACACATCGAGCTATCAGAAATCCCTCCTAATCAGGCCGAGTTTGCAGTACTTCAAGATTTGGTATAAGCAAACTTTGCTATTGTTTTTATCTAAAATGACAATGGTATAAACAAACTAAACATAAATCCTAACCCCAGCTGTCCCAGCCCCTGCACAGATGAGAGCAACCCCTCGGCCAGCACAGAACCTGCTGCAGCAGGACTCACCTCTCCACTGCATCCTGGTGCGGCTCTACACTGAGTTAAATCAGTAGTACTTTAATTTACAACAGACAGGCTAGTCGGCATTCTTATGTGCATTTATTAATTACAAGTAGGTCTTTGACTTTATATAAAAAGGAAATTTTTTTATCTTAAACATTTTGGTTTTTGTCAGATCAACATCTATACTATAGAAAATGAATACTCTCAGTCCACTGGTAATTATCAAAAGGGATGTGCAAATAGTGTTATACTTTAGTTGAAACCCAACATTAAAAGATACCTTAATATTCCTTATTGTTCCAAGAATGAATCCAAACGTACACTTTTCCATGATCATTATAGGCTACCCTGTTTTCCAAGGCAAGTCCATCATCTTTCCTCACATCTACAAGGATCTCCACACAGTTCCTTTAATCTCCAGAGCTCTCTCAGTTCCTGTGGAGAATACTGGGGGGAAGACAGCATGCCACTCTCGCATGTCTTCTCACACAGCCAGAGACTATCCTGTTCGAGAGAGAACCATTTCAATAGTTTTTCTTACAAAGAATTTAGGCTTCAACAATCTTTACTTCCAAGAATCGGGGTTTCATCGTTTCCAAACTTTGCACACAAAGGTCACCAACGAGAGGTCTGTGTCCCTCTCGGATGTGCTAAATGTATTCAGAGAACTTGGGGCGTGGGGATGGGGGCTGCAGGGGGGCAGGGGGTGGTTTGTGGGGGTTTTGTGGTTTTTCTTTTAAACACATTTTAACAAGTGTTTTCTGGATTTTAATCCAATGGCTGTTTCAATTTTTTTTTTTTTTTAAAGAAAAAGCATTTCCTCTATTTTAATCTACTTGGAGCAACAGGCATGTTCTCTTTCCATAAGATCAGAGAATTTCTTCACTTACTTGGTATCTCTTGGGTCCTACAGCTGCCATCCAGATGCCCATACTCACATCTTCACCCTGAGACAACACATGAAAATAAAAAATACAGATATTAGCACCAGAAAAGCACAAAGCATGACTTTGTGAACTAGAATAAGTTGCATCATGTACCAGCAGTAAGAAATGGTAACTACAAAAAGCTATGTCTGACTATTTTAGAGGTGTTAAATGAATCCTCCCAGCTTTCCTGTGATAATACGTTGTTCTCAAAAGAAGACAGGACAATACCCAAGGTTACAGCTCCAGAGGTTCTCAGTCCAAAACAGTTGTGCTTTGACCTAGAACAGACACTAAGCATAGTGACCAAAACCACGGCAAAAAGCCAGCATCAACCAGGGGAACCCAAGACTAACACTTGAGCAACGTTCTTCCCAACTCATCCAGTACACGGGCTGCTCCCCAGACCAGTTTAAGGTAGAAAAACTGAACCAACGCGTTACTACCTGGTACGTCTTTAGTCTTTCAGCGTTGCTTGCCAGCCACTGAACAATGTCTTTGGAGATGACGTAGCCGGACCCACAAGCAAAGGCTGGATATGCAGGACTTGGGTATTCCAGCTCTTGCCATTTCCCAGTTCGATCAACTGCCCAATTCAGTCTGAAACTGAAGACCATGTTAGACGTGAGATGTTTATACAAAGCCCTCTGTAAAACCTATGACCACTGCTAACAACTGAAGTAACAAACACTGATAATAAACAATATTAAGAGGAAGAAGTAGAAGGTGATGCTGATAATAGTTCCCAGCCTTCTTTCGCTAGGGCACGCATCTAATGCAGCACAACAGCTGAAAGTGTGACTGCTGTTTGGCCTCAGTCTTGGGCAATGAGGGAAAGGTCTCAGAACAGAAACAAACGCAACATTGACAGTCAGGTCTTCAACGCGTCTGCACCCGCTGCCGGGTTTTGATCCCAGGAAGCGCAAGCGTCCTTAATTATGTTCTGTAACAGGCACATCTGTGTCCAAACCCCTTCTGTTAATCAACATGACACAAAGTCAGTGCCTCCGGCAGGCAGGCGCTTACAGCGATGTTACGCAACCCCTCTTCCTGATAAAACTAGTCGTTGCTTAAACTCCAGAAGGCAAGGCAAAGTACTGGGGTTTTTATATACCTTCTCTAAGCTGTTTTCCAAATGAAACTCAACAGAGCGGATGTTCAACAAAGGCTGCCACCCCTGAATTACAAAAAAACCTTCCTGGCAGTCGTCTTCTCTAGGGAAGATTGTACGTGCTACTAGAGGCCTGCAGAACGCCAGCAGTGCTCTGACTGCCCCGTCTCTCCGCGCTGACTGCCATCCCCAGGCAGCGTGGCACAGCCTGCTTTAACGTGCTACCGTGCCACGCAGCACTACCGGCCCTGCTAAACTGCTGTGTCAGGCAGTGAGAAACACCCAGGAATAGGCTGCGATTACACTCCTCTTACCTGACACGTACTTCACGCACACACAGCTAAGTGGTATAACCGTGTGTCAATGCAGCAGGATCTCCCCTTTTTTGCAAACAGGTTCAAGCGTTGCTGAATCCAGTCACGAGCACAAGCAGCTGAAAGCTTTAGTGAGCTACTAAGAATCGTCACCTCAGACAACAGCCCCATAATGGGAGGAATTACAGTTCCGTTGCAGATCTGTTTTCAGACTCTACACGTTCACAGCTGAAGCTGACACGTTAAAGCACCGAGCAGATAAAAGTCACATCTGATACCTGAGTTCACTTTAGACTCAGTATCTTCCACTCCAGTGAGTCACAGCAGGAAGGGTGCAACCCCCTCCAGACGGAGAGGCACCCGCTTTGCTTGGAAGGATTCCCCAAACCACTCAGAAGACTCCTCTACACTCAGTGGTGACCCACAAAGCTGACCACCTAACTAGAAAACTAGCCAAGGAGCCGGCCCACAGTAGGCAGCAACACAAAGGCTGGGGTAGGGACACCAAGGAAAAGGAGGGCGATCTGTTTAGTATGACATCCTCAGCTCTTACAGCCAAGACCATGTTCCAGAAGAGCTGTCCCTACAGCAGCTGGAAGAGCAGCCCAGGCAGCTTATACATAGTGCTATTTTCCCTTTTGCAAGTTGGTTTCCATCTTGTCATCAAGTTCCTGAACTTTTACGTTGCTAGAATGAACCTATCTTACCTTCGCTATTAGCCTTGCCTTGTGGTAAAGGTAGCCCCAAGAAAATTTAACAGGCACAAGGCAATCAGGGTTTTTGTACAGGCTAGAGAACACATGCCCACCACTCAGATCTTGGAGATGGTCACAGGATAGCCAGCTGTTCTGCACACTTGAACGCACGCACATGCTTCATTAAATCACCTTACGAGCAGGCAACAGTCAGTACCAGATCTGTGAAGCAAGACACCTTTAGCAGCAAACGACAGCTTTTCTTTAGTAAGCAGGTGGCAACAGGAAGACACATCATGCCGTTGTGCTATATGGAACGTTATAGCAGCGCAGCTTTTCTGCTATATTGGATGTTATACCAGCGTAGCAATGCATTCCGTGGATGGAAGGGAAGGGAAGAGATGGACCATTTTGATCCTCCTGGTTATTCACAAGTGTAATGCAGGCTGGGGAACTCCACTCAAGAATTCATGAATCAGACCTACCACTTCAGACAGCAGCAAAATGGGTAGCAATGCCTGTCGTTCACAGACTTCAAAATAAAGGGCAGATTATAAAGGCAATTTTGTCTCCCCTGTTTACCGCATTTCCTCAAGCCCACCAGAAAAAGAGTGGCTTCAAAAAAAAGTAATGTTTGCAATTCTAGTATATACTTACATTTTAACTTTACTGTACTGCTGGAATACTTCTATTTCCTTGAGTACCACGACAAAGACACATACAAGACATTTTAAAACTAGGTAAGGTATTCAGCAAGTTCAACTCATTGTAAAGGCACACTCTGGAAAGCTATTGTAAAGTACTGATTTCTGTATTATGAGATTCAAAGTTCTACACATACAAAAGTCCCGCCTTTTATAACTGGCTTCCATAGGCAGAAGAGGGGAACCCACGTGAAAACAGACTCAAAGCAGGAAACCATTCACTAAAGACATGATATCTCTTAAAGACAAGTTAAAAAAACCGACTCACTTTCCCCACCAAATGTTTGGCCTGTCCAGTTTTTTCTGCATTATCCTGTCGAAAACAGCCTCCAGATCAATGTAACAGTCATCATCTGTCTTCAGCAACAAATCAAAACTCGTTGATTCAACTGTCCTGTAGCCAAAAA